TTAGAATTAATTTCACTTGTTTCTTTTTGTTTTTCGAATGTGGCTGTAGAGAGTGTTAAGTTATGCGGGTGGTTGGCACTGTATTTTTGTTGGACGGTGCTGGCTTGCGCCGTGGAGCCCAGCCTTGAGGGCACGTGTCCGGGCGGGCGCTCTGACTCGCCCAGTCCTTGACGCACTGTGAGAGATGCTTTGTTGTTCGTGGACTCGCTCGTGCACCCATTCTGTGTCTTTGGAGCTCCCCCTGTGTGCCAGGCCCCTTCTAGGCACAGAGGAGACGGAGACAAATGCTCTTCCAAATGCAGTCCCTCTCTCGGCAGCAATTCCACGTTGATGGCTCAAATCAGTCTTTCTGCTGACCAGTCCGGAGGCCACAGAGGGTGCCTCGTGCACCAGGCCAGGGGCCACACCTGCGCCCTTCCCGCTCTGCAGTGTGGGGAGTGGGCCACTGTGGGTGGGATGGGCCCCTCCAGGAAAAGGATCGTCAGGCCTGGTGTGGAATGTGACCAGCTTCCACAGTCTGACCTTCTCGAGTTTTAAAACCTCTCATGTCTGGGTTTCCTCAGCAAAATATCGCCCAACCTGCATTGGATGCTGAAGATGGGGGCAACTGAAACCCACTCCTTGCTCTCGGGCAGCCCCAGTCTGGAAGGAGGAGGATGGGCTCCCAACTCTGGTCCAGCCGCGTTATAGACTCTGGGTAAGGGGCGAGGGGAAGCATGTCCCAGGGTGCAGGGGCCTGGCTGCGTCCACTTCTGCAGTGTCCAGATCCAGGCATGCTGGAACCTGTGGGGTCCCCTCTCCAGAGCCCAGGGGCCACCAGGTGCTACTTGCTGTCACATATAGCAAGGCAGGCCGAAGCCCACCCCTGTGCCTCCCGACTACCTGCGGGTGGGGCAGAGGCTCAGCCATAGCGCCCTGAAAAGTGAAGGGCCTCCCGGATGCCCAGGCCTGGGAGGGGCCACAGCTCCCACTGACAGTGGAAGACAGGTGTCCCATTGAGGTTATCATCCTTGCATTGTTCACATTGAGATGGGTTTGTGGCGTTTTGAGAGGAAGATTCACCACACGTCTATGCGAGCTGGGGATGCGTGGCTGCTGTGTCAGCTCCAGCTGGCTTCATGGTAGTTTGTCAGTCCTTCTTTACCCAGTTGATACGAACCCTAGCCCCCCGCTCATTGGCGACAACACTGGGGAATATGGTGACACTTCATGAGCGAGTTGCCTTCATCCAGGGCAGCCTTTTCGGAAAACAAACAGCAAACAGACTCCATCCATCACCCTGTGTTTGCAGTTTGTGATCATCCGCCTGTTGTCCTTGCCCGGGGCGGGGGGCGGGGGGGGGACGGGAGGAAGGGGACCGGGCCACCCCACAGAGTCCCGAGGGCTCTTGCTGCCCTCCTCCTCCCCTCTGCAGAGTCCACCCTGCACACAGGGAGCTGCTCATGTTCAGACTTCCCAGCTCATTACCTCTGGTTGCCAAGGTGCTGACCCAGAAGCCTGGCTTATTTCTCGTGATTAAAACGTGAGCTTTACTGTTGACCCTGCCCGGGAGCAAACAGTAATCTTTCTGCCGTCATTTTTCGCCCTTTTCCTCCGCCTCTCCCCGACTTTGCCTTCAGTGTGGGCTAAGTGAGGCGGCATGTTGTTTTCCCATTGCTGCCGTATCAAACCACCATGGACTTGTGCCTTAAAGCAACAGAAATTTATCCTCTGAGAGTGCCAGAGGTCAGAAGTCCAAAATGGGTTTTATGGCTGAAATAAGGTGTCGGCAGAGCTGTGTTCCTTCTAGAAGCTCCAGGGGAGAATCATTATCTTGCCTTTTCCAGCTTCTCAGGGCTGCCTGCATCCCTTCGCTTGTGGCCCTGCATCATTCTGAGCTCTGCTTCCGTCATCACATCCTCTCTGACTCTCACCCTCCTGCCTCCCTCCTCGGAGGACCATTGTGATCACATTGGGCCCGCCGTATAATCCAGGATAATCACCCCAACTCAAGATCCCTAACTTAACCACATCAGCAAAGTCCCTTTCACCACGTAACCTAATAGGTCACAGGTTCCGGGCACCAGGACCTGGATCTCTGGGGGCCATTATGGTCCCTACCACAGAAAGCCTTATTTATTTAAAAAGAGCCTAGTAAAAAGAGTTTGATTATCTTTTGTCATTGAACTTGGTGTAAAAATATAGAAGATTATCCAACAGAGGAACAAAAGTATTAACTTCTCCAAGGAAATAATGGGAATCACCCTTAGGAATGCAACCTATAGGAAAATGTGTAATTAAAAAGGAAGTTATAATGCTCCTTGATCAAATGCTTTTACAGGGTTGCAATACAAATTCATGTGGGCTAGTTGTGTTTGGGACAGAGCTATGGGACGGCTGTGTCCGGTAGGTCACTCTGCACCGACGGAGACGCTCTGCTTCTCTGTTGTCCAGGGGGTCACCACCAGCCTCGTGTGGTTGCTGAGCACTTGAAGTGTGGCTTGTACAACTGAGGAACTGAATTTTAAAATGTAATTAAGTTACATTTAAATATAAATTGTTGCATTTAAATATAAATAACACAGGCTGGAACGAGGGATCCTAAACTGGATTCTGCGCGCAGGTTTTAGGAAGGCTGCAGTGAAATAATTGGCAGAGTTTTGTCCCTGAGGGAAAGGTCAGTAGCTTTCCTCAGAGTCTCAGAAGGCTGCGTGACCTAGAAAGGTTTGGGGCCCTGGTCCAGAGGAAAGCCACAAAGAGCACTGGGTCGCACAAAATACCCAGAGCCATTCTTCTTGACGCGGCAGGAGCAAGACTGCAGCGCTGGCTCCCGGTGGATGAACGAGCTGCTGAGCGAGCAAGCTGGCTTCAGAGCGTAGGATGGCAGCCCTTTGATACAGGTGCTTGGCCAGAGGAACACAGAAGGCTGGCAGTCAGTCAGTTACCAAAAGAGCTGGCCCACGCGTGCCTGTGTGCACGCGCAGCTGACTAGGGCGGCTCACCTGGGGGCACCGAGCAGGCCCCAGGCCAGGGCTGCTTAGAGCATCACAGCATCGCAGAGTGGGGAGTCTGAGGGGTCATGGTCATCCCCCGACCCCACCACTTCTGAGTTCTCTCTTATCCACCCTCGTGTGATGTGGGAACATCCCATGAGAGAATGCTGCCTTCTGTGGCCCCAGATCCATTTAGGGTGACTTTAACTTTGCTAGAAAGCTTTTCCTTAAACGATAACAGCAATGTTGTTACTCAGAATAATAATGGTTAATATTGTTGAGCACTTCCTGTGTGCTACACCTCACAGTTTCATTCCTTCTCCTACGAGGAAGACATAATTATCCTCAAGCACGTTGGAGACCTGAGCTCAGGAGGTGACATGGCATCCGTGTCCCCACAGTTCGCGAGTGGCTGAGCCAGAATTCGGACTCAGGGCTGTCCGGCTCTGCCCACTGCCTTCGTATCTGAACCTCTCCCCGGGCCCCTGCTGCTCCGGTTCCGACCCAGGAGCTCTGGAGAGGAGCGCAGACTGGTTTGCTCAGTAGCGCTCGCGTATCTCACGGCAGCGCTCATCGGCGGTTTAGAGGTGGAGGAGCAGACAGGCGTCCTGAGAAGTGGCTTCGTGGCCCTCTCCCGGTTCACCCAGGAAAAGCCCGCCCGCTTCCCTGCTCCCGCGAACTGCTGGACGGCCTCAGCATGTGTCCTGCCTCTTCCGTTCTGCCCGGAGCACCGGGCCTCTTTTCCTGAAATGATGTTTAATCCTCTTCCCACGTTCGTTGGCGCGTGTCCGTCTTTAGCACAAGTCAGGTTCAGCTGGGCGTGCGCAGCTGCCTTGGAACTTTCCGAAAGGTCAGTGCCCAGACTCGCTGACTCTGATCTGCCACGTAGACCCTGCTCGGTGAACACCTTCCGTGCCCCATCTCTCAGGAAAGAAGTCGCCGTACTCGAGTCCTCTCAGAATATCTGAAGCACTTCCTCAGTTACTTCATTGTTTCCCGGGAGCTAGAACTGACCTGTGCTATTGTGGGAGTTTGGGGTGGACCCAGTGTTGGGTTGATATCGTGTATATTCCATGCGTACACTGCAGTGTGGTTGTGCAGTAGCGTCACCTAGCTCCTTTATCATGTCACCTAAGTATCATTTCTTTTTTGTGTTGAGAACAGTGAAAATTTAATCTCCTAGCAACTTTGAATCTTATAATAAGGATTGTTGACTATAATCTCTATGTTGTGCATTAGTCGTTTGCTTCATTTTAAATAAAATAGTCTCAAGATCACATGGACTTACCTCTGGGATGTCCCGTTGTTATGAAATGGGTACCGGTGGCTTGGGGTAAAATTTCCAGTGACTCTATCCGACATGGATTCAAAATAGGTGTATCTCCCATTAACAGTGCTCGAAAGTGACAGCTGAAATGCGGGATGGTGGCCCAAATACATTTCAGATGCAAACAAGTCAGACCCATATTATCATGTGCTGTTTTCTAAGCAAATTGTCTGAGACTAATAATTCAAGAGGAGGTATATGTAGAAATAAAATCTGGGACCGGCTCCATGGCCAAGCGGTTAAGTTCACGTGCCCGGGGTTTGCCAGTTCAGATCCTGGGCACAGACCTACACACTGCTCATCAAGCCGTGCCGTGGCAGTGTCCTACATAGAAGAACTAGAATGACGTATAGTTAGGATATACAACTATGTACTGGGGCTTCAGGGAGAAAAGAAAAACGAAGGTTGGCAACGGATGTTAGCTCAGGGCCAATCTTCCTTGCCCAAAAACAAAAAAAGCCAGAATACCTTTAAAAAAAAAGATAGTAGTATTGGTAAGTGAGTTCATTTAAACTATGGGGCACCAGTTAGTGTAATGTATGTCCTATGAATGAAGGAATGGGATGGGAGAGGTACCGGGATTGCTTTACATAACAATAACCATCACTGAAGTCAAAGCTGTTTTCAGGAGGCCTTAACGAATGTTTCCTTTCTCTTTCCTTCTGCAATGGCTGTTTCCTGACCCGCGGCTCTCACTCCAGGATTTGCGCAAGCAGGTAGCGCCACTGCTGAAGAGCTTCCAAGGGGAGGTAAGCCTTTATATTTATTTCGTATCCCGAGCCACCCTTCATAATAGTTCATTGCGCCTCCTTTTTATTCTCCTTAAATAAATGCCGCTGACAGAAGGTGCTTACCCAGATGGAGCCTCCCCAGCTGCATCGGCCCGACGTCACGCAGATTCTGTGCTTCTCAGTGTGATGGTTCCACTGGGTCTTCTTCACTGGAGCCCAGCTGGAAGGCGAGGCCGTGTCCAGAATGTCAGACAGTGTGGTGGATTGAGGCGCGAAGGGGCCGGTGTGGTCGCCCTCCTCATGGTGGACCAGGCCTGTTCAGACCGCAGCCTCTAGGAGTTCACCGACCTCCTCAAGCTCCCCGTCCCCCAGCTGGTCTGGGGCCGCCGCCACCATCAGGCCCCCCGGGTAGAGGGGAGGGAGTGGAGCAGTCTGGTGCTTTCCCGCATGGCTGCTGGGGCAAGAGGAGTTTCACTCGATGAGGCTTAAGACACAGAGCACAGGGAGCTGCCACGCCGAGTAAGTCAGAGCTCTATCTAAGGAAAGGTTTTCTCGTGGGTCCTTCCCGAGGAGGCCTAGGCAGGACGGCAGGCGGCGGCCGCTTGTCTGCGACGTGTGCCCTGGCTGCTGGTGGTGGGAGTGGTGTCACGGAGCGGACAGGCAGCCCAGGCGGGTGACGCTCCAGCTCCTCCTCAGCCCTCTGCGCAGCGACTCGGTGAACTGCAGAAACGTGCAAAGTTTGTTCCTGCTGGGAGTTCTTGGCTCTCGGTCTGAGCTGCTCCCGTTGGAAAGATGAAGTAGTAAGAATGCTCAGAAGAGGGAGCGAGCCTTTGAAAGCTCTGTGAAGAACCCATATTGGTGGCATCTTAGGAATTGTATGTTCTTGCAGCTACGCGATTCACAGCACGGGGAAGGGGCGGGGTTCGGGGAAGGGAGGTGGCGAGTTCCGGAGCGACGCGAGGCGGCGGGCCGAGGAGCTGCGGGGGCTGGAGTCTGGGCCCAGGGCTGCAGAGGAAGAGGCCGGGGGGCTGCCGTTTGGCACATTCTTCAGCGCATAGGGACAGCAGAGGACGAGGGAAGGAACGAGGTTGGTCCGGGAGACTGCAGCGGGGGCGAGAGGAGGGGCTGGGACGGTGAGGGACCACTGTGATGGCCGAAGCTGGTAGAACGGGCAGCCGGGCCCTGCCCAGGAGGCCCCCGTGCGTAGCTCCCTAAGGCACAGGGGTTGTCGAGGCTGGGTCTGGGAAGGGCTCGATTGCCCCTTCCTCGGAGTTACACCTCCAGGCCCTCATTCTGAGAGTCAGACTGTCACCTTACCCCACCCCACACTCTGTCTGACCCCTTCTGCCACCTGCTCAGCAGATCTTGTGAGGCCCACTGGCTTTGTATTTCTCTAGCGAAACCACTCAGTGTGCTTTTTTTGTTTGCTTGTTTCTCCTCCTTTTTGAAGAATTTCAGATCTGCTTACAGTAGACAGAGCCATATGCTGAGCACCTGAGCCCCTTTACCAGACTCACCACTTCGTCACATTTTCCCACGTTTGCCCCCTCCACCCCCCACCCCTTTGCTAAACATTGGAAAGTAAGTTGCTGCCTGCCCTAAACACGTGCGTCCATCTCCTGAAATTGAGGGCGTTCCCGACGTTTCCACAGGAACCCCGAGAATCACACCTGGGAAGGTGACACTAACCCATGGTATCTGATATTGAGTCCAAAATCACATTCCCCCAGTGATCCCCAAAACGTGTGTTGTAGCCGCCCCACCCCATCAGGGTCCCATCAGGGTCATGCATTGCATTTAGGGGGAGATATGTATATATATATATTTTTTTCTCTTAATAAAGAACACTCCCTCCATCCCCTCTCACTTTTGTTATTGTTTTTTATTATGTTGAGTTTTGTGGATTTTATTAAGAATCTAAGCCAGTTATCTTATAGATTATCCCACATTCTGGATGGGATACTGGCTTTAGTTCTGGATATATTAAATTTGAAATGCCTGAGAGACATCTAGACTCCCCATTTGCCCAGTTTTTTAAAGGCTATTTGAAAAGTAAATATTTTTATAGCACCATTAATTAATGTTTGCCAAGTCTCTGCTAATTGCTATATTTACATTAAATAACTTGTGCTTTCTAGTAAGCTGATTAAGTAAAAGAGACGAAACCCTCCTTGTTTGTGACTTTGCACTTTCCTGGCGGAGGGTGACCGAAGCCAGGTGCCTCACAGGCAGGGGCAGTTTCCGGTAAGGAGGCCGGAACGCAGCAGGTCTCAGTGCGTAGATGGGGCAGGACCCAGTCAGCCGACTTTTCTGGAAAGCCTCCTTCTGTATCAGAGGCTTCTTCTTGGATCTTCAATAGTGTCTGCAGAGTGTGATTTTATTTTTGGGGTCTGTTATTTGAGCTCGTCCCAAGGTGCTTGAGTTTCTCTTAGAAACATGTATGGTGTTAGTGAAAACATGTTCCTTGCCCCAGAATTTGTATAGATGACTTCCCTATTTGAGCTCCCCAAAAGGAAAAACAAAACAAAATAAAATGAAGTTTTCAGACAGTAAGAAATTCGCAGAGTTTCTGCAGGAGCGTGTCTTTGTGGTGTGGTACATATAATGCCATGGGATGCGTTGACCTGCCCAGGGTACCGCTTACCCCCCGCAGTGTTTTCTTGTGGTTCAGTGTCACTCCAGACATCTTCCTTCCTGTAGTTTGTGAGACCCGCACGATTCGGTGACAGCTTACCTTTCTAGACTCCTCTGACTACTTACCCCATCGCTGGACACACAGCCATTCTGGATTTGTCAGGCCCTTGTGTGTTGGGCGTCCTCGCCGGCCTGCAAGCCTTCACACTGGCTGACCTCCTTCCTGAACTGCTCCTTCTTCCTTCCGCTTTACCTGGCTCACTGCAGCCTGGGTGTCACTTCCTCAAGGAAGGTCTTCCCCGAGCCCCAAGGGATAGGCCAGGTCCCCTCTACTATGTGCTTCCGTTGCACCCTGTGCTACTGGTGACAGCATTTGTCATTGTGCCTGAGAGCCACCTGTCACTTTGTCTCTGTTCCCCATTAGTCTGTAAGTGTGTGAAGGCAGCCGCTGTGTCTTGTCTGTTGGCCATCATATTCCCAGCACCCGACAACACAGCAACTGGAGCTAAAAAGTATTTGGGCTCTCAGGAATGGTTACTGAATAAATGGTTGAACAGTGGGGTTCCTCTGGAGGCAGCTTTTAAAATATTTTTGCCTCTGTCCTTTCTTGGGTTGTTAATAAGGTGAAAGGGACCCCGGAAGAGAGGTTCAGGAAATACCTTTAGAAGAAACTAGTAAATAACTGTTAGTTGCTATACCTAAGCTGGTGTGTTCCACCAGCCCGGACGGCTGGTTGGGACGGGGAGGAGGAATAACCGAAATGGTCAATCCAATGTAAGGCTTATTTTAGTCCAGTAATTAAGACAATCCCTTCAGGGAAGTAACAGTCGTCCTCTCTAGGAAAATGCTAAGTCTTTCAAATGTCTCCCCCCTCTCATTGCTTCTCTCCCTGAGAAGGGTCCTGGTCTAGAAGGTCGAGGGGCTAGAGAATTGGCTTAGGCTCTACCCTTCTTGGCTATAGGGGAGCTGGTGCTTAAACCAAGTGTCCTTAAGGAGAAAAATCCTCTTAAGAAGTAACTTAGGTGCTTCTATTAGAGGGAAAATAAAAGACTGAAAATCCATGAGCTAAGCATCCAGCTTGAAAAGTTCTAAAAGTACAGTAGAATAAGTTCGAAGAAAATAGAGAGAGGGAAATAATACATATAATTAATAATAATGATGAAAAATATAAGAATGAAAAAGAAAACAAAGACCCAAGAGAGAAATAGCCCAAAAGTTGGTTCTTTGAAAAGACTACTACAATAGACAAACAACCTTCCTAATCAAGAAAAAAAAAGGTTAGGAATGGAAATGGGGATAACTTTGTAGCTGCAGTGAAGATTAAAAAGATAATAAGGGAATATTGTAATCATTTTTATGCCAATAAATTTTAAAGCCTAGACAAAACAGACGCATTTCTAGATTTCTATAATGAACCTAAGCTGAGTAGAGAAGAGTGGAAACCATGACTAGCCCTCTAACTATTGCAGAACTATTCCCACACGTTCTGAACAGTTTTGTGAGAGTCTTATCCATCATTCATGAAACAGTTCTAATCTTTTGCAGACTCCTTCAAAAAATAGAAAAAGAGAGAACGCTTCCTAACTCATTTATGAGGCAAGTATGACCTCAATACCAAAACCAGACTAGAACAGTACAAGAAAGGAAAGTTAAAATTGTCTTATTTATGAATACATATGCAGAAGTCCTTTAAAAAGTATTAGCAAATTGAATCCATCACGATTCGTGTATCCCAAGAATGCTATTTGCTTTAACATTAGAAAACTTATTAATGCAAATTAATATGATTAACAGATTAAAGAGGGAAAAACTATCTCAACAGTTATAGGAAAAGAATTTGATAAAATTCAGCATTCATTCATGATAAAAACTACCAGCGAATTAGGAATAGAGGGGAACTTCTTTAATCTGGGAAAAGGTATTTATCCAAAACCTACATCGATCGTCATACTCGATGACGTTGAAAACATTCTCTTTAAAATCAGGAAGGAGAGGAGGAGGCCTGCTGTCGCTGCTTTTCTTTAACATTGTACTGGAAGTCTTAGCCAGCAGCGAAGAGGGGAAAGAGAAATAAAGTATAAGTCTTATAACAGAAGAAATGAAACTGTCATTTTTCAAGTGAGCCTCAATTATGCAACAAGGTTGCTAGATACAGAATCAATATATGAAAGTAATTACATAGCTCTACGCCAGCAGCACAGTGGAAAAGGTTACCACTGAGATAGCAGCGAACAATAACGGGTACCTAGAAGTAAATATAACAATGGGTAGGAACTCTTTCTGGAGAAAAGTATAACGTTTATATTGAAGGATATTAAGGAAGGTTTAAATGGAAAGAGAGAAAGTATTCAAGGATAGAAATTCCCATGATTAATAAAGATGCC